ACATGATTACATATATACTTAAAAACATTATTTAGTTTGTTGCTGGATAAAAAATATAATTTACTAGTTAGCAAATTATACTTTTATTTAAAAGCTTACACATATAGCTTGTTTTATTATTGTTTATGAACTTGTTTCGTTGTTTATTTCATTTGAAAAACGACAAAATTTTAGGTAGCGAAATATACTTATATTGATCGAAACGTATATACGCTTACAATAATTGATTCAACTAGGTGACGGCATGTCTACTCTTTTATAAATTTAATACATGAATTTATAATTAGATTACTTATTATTATAACACGAATCATAACAATAATTCAGATCTAACATAAAGGATATTAAATTATGCTATAAATATTTTGAAATTTATTACATACCAGCTATTCGCCCATGTTCCGTATGGGTGTGATTTTTCATTTTTCCGAAGGTTTTTTCAATGATTTTCTTACATACAAATCTTGCGGTGACAATTTTTTTTGCTCTAGTCTAATTGGGAAAAATAATTACCGTGGCATTCTGAAGTAATGCGTTTATAAATTCGTACATTCTACAATTGATTTTTATTCATATTAATTAGCTATGATTTTTTTATCAGCCGTTACTACAGAACATAGCTTCCTCCCTAAAGGAGGATTTTGCCAGTAATTTGCCACGTTTGGCAGGCAAATAATATAGAGATTATTGTTATTACTTATTATATGTTATCTTTTTATATTTTTATCAATAACAATAAAAAATATACTAAAATTGTTATTTAAATTTTTCAACTTTCATGACTGTGACAGACCGTGTGCCTAATTTTAACAATAAATATTAATTGGATTAAAGTTTCTTAAATTGATAATTAATATTGTATTTAATAATTTTGGTGAAGGTTTTTATATTATTTGTATGCCTAACAATAGTAGAACATAGCGATCTAAAGTATATTTTATATATATCATGTAACTAAATACCTATATTTATGCAAATAAATGATTCACTTTACAGTTGTTGTAAGTGTTTCGATTTCAAATCTCTGCGTGAGACGTCCATAGATAGACAAATAAATATAATAAAATTTCTCAAGAGCTTTAAAAGGCGTGCCTCAATATTGACAAATAATTAATATGTCCGCAAAGATCCATAATCACAAATAATCATTTAATTATAGATGTCTACTTGGCTATTCATCATAAATTACCTAAACTTACTTTTGAACAGTTAACATTGAAAAGTTCACGGCCTCTTATAAAATTTGTCTGTCGAGAGGCTTAATATTTTCAAGTAGGTATTTAATGTCCATACACACCACCGTTATAAGAAAAGCTCACCAAATAAGCTTTCTTTGATATGAATTAGTATATAGTTTACACTAAAATTATTTCGACTGTCATTGATACAGAAATTTCACAGAATTTACATTCTCATACGAAAATTATACGTTAAACTATTCCAAATTAATGATTAAAATAATGTACTTATGTGGTAACCGTATTCGCATGTGAGTGCGAAGGTGATTAGATTTATAAAATTTGTAAGAACATTTCAACACGTTCGACTCAAATTTTAGTAGTTAGAAGTAAGTGCATAATATGGTTTTTATATTCAGTGCCGCTTTTTAGCCATCATAGATTTTTTTATATATCAATGTCTGTTGGTCAGTTGTCAGTCATATATGGCATAAAATATAGGATGCTAGTTTTGTTTATAATATGCATATTTATTTCAAATTTGTTTTGTCCTGTACCGCTACTGACCAGGTTCTTTATTTTCTTATCGGAATTAAAACTATAATATCTCTTAAGGTAGAGCATACATATTTACAAAATTTAATTAAAACGATTGGGTGGTTTCAAAGACTAGCGTGAAATGGGATTTTTATATATCTTATATATGAAAAAAAAACTTGTGTTACGGCATTTGTGGTCGAACTCCTCCGAAACGGCTCGACTGATTTTTATGACGTTTTATGTATATTTGGTAGATATTATAATAAGTCGTAAAGTATATCTCATACTGCTAGGTGAATACATCTTCCCTATAAAGAAAAAAAAAACGCAATTATATGGCAGAACAACGTTTGCCGGGTCAGCTAGTTAAGACTTAGTTACCACTTATAATCAGTCAGCTCCTTAGCTTATTTGTCGTTCCTAGCAGTTTGTAAAAACACTGTGACTCCGGTAAGCAACTAGTGTCGGTTGACGACCCGGATTACGGATCACTCCACTCTGCCAGCGCCGTGCCGTTAAATCCACTGACACACTTCCACTCTCAGGTGATTCAAAATAATTTGAAATTTAATAGATGATGTATGCCCGTAAAAATTTAAGTGTAATTGTCGAAATCAATCACATATAATGTCTGTTTTGCCGTTATGGAAAGAAAAGCTCCGTAGTTTAATATGTTCACAATATAACATTTTTTGTTGAGCGGTATTTTGCATAGTACTTACTCACATTTCTTCTTAAAATTTTCCAGGTTTTAGTATTATTTGTGAAAATAATTTTATTATAAAGATTGGTTAAAAATTTACAAAGATATTTTGTAACAAGCACAAATAAAGGACACAGGCAAATTAAGAATCTTTTTGAAAGCAATTATAATTCGGTACATTAAAGCTTCCATAGTTCTTTCTACTTCTCCTTAATACGAGAAACAACATCGTGCGAGTAAAACCTTATTACGTTGCTTGTTAGGTATCAGCTGTCTATGTTAGTCCATTGGCGCGACATTTCCTGTTCAAAAGTGAAACCGGTTACATACTGCCGATGCAGATATAAAACACTGTTAAAAGATACCTAAATTTATCTAAAGCTACATACATAAAGTCCCTATACGTCGTCTATCTATTCACAAGTGAGAGGCAATCATAGAATTAGCAAGGACAGAAAACCAATCGCGGCACTATTTCCTACTACCTACTCATGTTACCATCAATTATGATCAAAAGAAAATAATTATCCCTTGCTTGATTGAATAAGTAGGATATACGTGGGTAATAGAATTTTTCAAAGTTTAACGTTTATGCCTAATAAGAGTTAAAATGGTACATGACTTATCAAATAAAAATGTATAATGTTTACTCGAATATTTTTTTTCAGAAGCTAGTCTTAGTAAGCATCACACCTCATGGTAAATAGGTAATGTGGTTCAAATATGAAGGTCTTAACCATCATAATTATTAGAGCATCATCGAGCCTGTTTTTTTTTTGATATTTAAGTGATAGTTTCAATAGACAGGACTTAAGACAAAGACTAAGCTAAAATATCAGTCTATGTATGTATGTATGTATGTAGAAAATCTGATTTATCGTACACAAAGTAAAATTAATAAGTTCCTTTTTAAATAAATTAAAAAAGGAGTAGGTTCTGAATTCAATGGTATTTTCATGTAAAGATAAGAAGCTGAAGATAAAAATGCATACAAAATTACTATTTAGTGCTTCATGTCTGTGAATCCTAATAAGGATTTTTTGTGTTGATCTGGGTACAGCCCACTCTAGATTATATTATACTTTTTGCTAAAATGCACGACTTTTTTATTTCACTATATTATCTTAATAAACCATACAAAATATACAGTAAGTGTACAAGTATAAAATAGCATTTCAAAACAATGGTCAAATATTAATGTGGTGTACGCGCTCTGGTTAGGTCACATTGCATTCTTTACTGATTGCTGCTCTCATCCGAGACCATAATTGATTGCTTCTACGTATTCATCATTTATTACGATGATAGAACACACATACAATTAATAGTTGACAACGGTCTATACATTGCATTATTGAGATATTTTTGACGGGAAAACAACTCTAGTTTTCCAAATGTTACCCATTCTATATCTTAGACTCTACTGATTTGCTCAACTTTAGCGTTAAACGAATATCTATTTTTTTACTTTCATATTGATGTATCAGTCGTTAACTGTCCATTGTTAAAAATAGTCTCTCATAGGGAGGATTTTGCCAGTAGTTGCCACGCTTGGCCGGCAACCGTAGTTTGTCTTTTAGTGATGTTTTAAGAGGGACATTGCTGCCCATCCCTCCAACATTAGCTCTCTTAATCGCCTCTTACGACACCCACGGGAAAGGAAGAGGTGATCTATTCTATGTCGGGACCTAGACTACTTATCTTCATATAATGTACAAGTATTATTAGGTTTCTTTTTATATTCGTTTTTTACTTGTAGGTAGATAGCTTTTCCTTACATATCTGCGGATTTGACTATGATAACTAAGCAGATCATCGACATCAAGCCGAGCAGATCAACCACATATATCGTTATGCCACTATTTGCCCAGTCCAAGTTTTTAAATTATCTACTACCGCAGCAGTCCATAATTTTAACGATAGCACATCTCGTTCGAGTAATATTCATTAATTTAAAATGGGATTTGCTAAAATAAAACTGGATTTAGTTGAACTTATTGTTACCGAATGAAAATCGGTTACACGAAGAGACCAGAAACTTAATAATAATTTGCAATGATTCATCAGATACTTTTAAATCAATACTTAATAGGTACATTGAATAAATTTCGATGATTACATGATGATAAATTAATAAGGCGGGTGATCACAGCCTAAGGCTAGGGAGTAGGAATAGACAAATGAGGGATATTAGAATTAATTTTAATCTTTTATTCGTGTTTATGTCCGTCTGCAATATCAAATCTTCCGTATTGATGATTTCTACCAACTAAACGAGACCAGGTTTTGCAATTATTCATTCAATTGAATTAATTTTGTCTATAAAAATAAATATAATGGGTAATTTGAATAATGTAAATTCTGAGAAATACACCTAAAATACAATAATTTAGAGAAAGCAAACTATAATAATGGAAGTACCTATCAACTTATAAATGTCGAGCGAGATGAGAAAACTCTATTGAGGGAACTTTCAAATCAGTTTGCAAACAATAATAACAATGCATGGAACAGATGCGTACCAGATACATCTTTAATTAAAGACGCGAGACAATATAACGATAGGAATATATTCTCACCTCCGACTCCCATGTGTCTTTCACGGTACGAGACTTGCTCTCCTTCATGTTTCCAGAGAACGTCATCGCGCTGTGTCCTTTGTTTCGGCCGTTGCACTTTTATACTGCCTATGGTAAAAAGCTCATCCACTAGAGTATAGACTCCACTTTGCACTTATCACAAGTTAATTATACACTCTTCTTTTAACACTGTCGCTTTCTGTTATCTTTTTGCCGGATCGCTGAGCAGATTGTAAACATCGTGCACAGAACGGTCGTGGGTATGGATGGATTCGTGAGCGTGCGATCGCGCGGGTCACAAGTCAGCGCGGACTGACGGCAAACGCGGAGCAGCGACGCCGGCGCGCAATAAACGGGCACGCACTACAGTTAACTTTCTCTCAATCCAGTCGCAACTTAAAACAACATCGAAAGTCTCTGCCGCAGTCTCACGGGTCAAAGCCTCCATAAACGTTTATTACTATTTTATTAATGAATATGGAAATTTAATTGTTTCATAATAAAGTTTCAAAAACACAATTATTGGTGTGATATATATATTTATGTCTCTTCTCTTTATTTCCTGCGCTGGATGTTCATGACTCTTGATTAAAAAATGCGGGCAATGAGTTTAATACTAGCCGCTTAGCCGGATCAAATAAATAGTACACTCATATCAGTTTTACGAATATATTACCAATTGTCTCTTCTATGTGGTAAAGTTTTTGTATGATGCTAATTACAATATACGATGTTAATATTTGTTTATGATAGGTATTAAGCCATCAATGAATCGTGTTAGACCTTCAATGAGAATATTTAGAGTTCTGTACCTCTAAAGGAAAAAACGGAGTGGAAAAAGGAAATAATAGGATCATTTCTTTATCTGTCCGTCTCTCCGTCCGTCTGTCAAGATCTTTTTTCTTAGGAACGCGTGGAAGTTACAAGTTTAAATTAATACCATATACTCAAGTCATATTCGCAAAGAGAATCAAAACCTGTAGGGTACTTTCCGTTGACCTAGAATTATGAAATTTGGCAAGAAATAATGTCATGCAGCACAAGTAAAAACAAAAACGCGAAAACCGTAAATTTGTAGTAATTTCACAAAAAAAATATAAATACTAAACTTGATAATTTTGTACGAAATCCTCGTTGCGCGAGACCGTCTCGTACGGCTTTATTATATTATTTCAACCATATTTAAAATAGACAGACAGTTTTCTATTTTATAAATCACTCGTGTCACTTTGATCAAATATACATCTTGAAAACCTCTCCTTTTTTTATTACTGTTCGCTTACACAAGCTTGAATAATAAGATTTCTGAAGAACTGGACTGGAAACAGAAAATAAATTTTTCTCACTTGAGAATCTTTAGTTGTATATTACTCACCCATTCCGCGTTGGCCATAAATGTTAGTGTTTTATTCACTCTAACGATAACAGTCAACTAACCCATCTTGTTTGATTGTAGTCGTAAATATAATTGTTTAAATTGGAAATTAATGATCCTACATGAAAAGTAACGGTTGTATATTCGTCTTTATATTATTGAGATATCTTTCCCGTTTTTATTTTTTGTATTTTATACATGATTTGTTTAACATACATCAAAACCACCTCTTTTTTAATGGATGCTAATGGAATGATATACCTACTGGCGCTAACGTGAGAGGGGCGGTAAAGAAATGTTAGTATTGGAATCTAACTGTCCCCTTGTTAGCAATATACCATATCAGGTCGACCTCAACAATGTGCCAAATGTTCTTATTCATCTTCACCTATCATCCTTCATTGGTGCCCCAGCAGTGTATAGCGTGAGCGCAGGCGGTCATTATTTTATTTTCATCCAACACCTGCGCTAACAGTATACACTGACTCATTACAGCTAATGAGCTATGGTCAATCCAGCGATTGACCATAGTGATGAATTCATATAGATTTAAGCACGATGGTTTCCAGGGAGGACTGCGAGGAAGTTGAGTTGATAGGGTATATTGCTAGCAATGGGACTGCTACTCTACAATCGTTTCCTTCCTGGCAAGGGGGGGGGGGGAGGGAGTCTGCTCTCCCTTCCCCCACCTCTCATTCGGATTATTTTAAAAGAATGGAGAGTTAACCGTAACTGTAAACGATATAGGAATATTCCTTGTCAGTTAGATTGGAACTTACTAATCACTAACATTTTATGATTTTGGAAATCTGTAGAACACAATATTTTCCGTTTGTATACTTTTTAACGATTTTTTTATGGATGCCTAAAAACCAGAATTTAAAATAGTTTTTATTACAGGTACCAACTAATCTAGTTAGGACGTTTTCTCATATCATAAATTGTGAAGTAAAATTTTAAGGCACTTTGGATAAAACTTGATCAAATTGAAGTACAAAGGTTTACATTAATTAGGTGTGGTACGAATCGTCATTAGCATGTGTTATATATTAGCATTACAGGAATGGGCTAAGACTGGAGATAAAACAAAAACAATCGAGTATAAAACTTAATGTATAATCATGGTATTTACAGACTTATGTTATATAAAACAAGTAGTTTTATGGCTATCATTAAATATACTTATTACAACATGTCATTAATAATTTACACAATAAGTATTAAAAAATTAAAAGCAACAGTATATAGTTTACTGAAGATAGCAATAATAAACTGTAATAATAGCACAAAAGGATACACACGATATCAATGGAAATAAAAGAGATTCCATAATTTACATCATAATAAAATTATATACAAACGTTATAAAAAGAATGTTTATCGATATAATTGTGGTAGAAACATCCTAACCATAGGTATATAGAACATGTTAAATATGTTTCCTATATGTATATACTTAAGACAATACAAATTAGAAATGAAGTACACCATTATTAACAAATTAAATATTTTATAAATTGTAAAAGCAAAATTTATTTACGTATTAACTGCTTCTGTACGCAGTTTGAATGCATTTGTTCGTAATGTGGTTACAGAATTCGTTAATTACAAATTTCCAGCCTTTTCAGTGACGAACCAATATTTTTCAATAATACAGGTAAAATGCTAATTGCTAGCACCATTTAGCATTGTAAAATGAACCATAGTATCATCTACTTCACGTAAGTAATATAAAACACTATAAAATAAACAGACGTATCACATTCAATTGGTAAAATAAAGTATAAAACTAGATACCATGTGATGTTCGGTAGGAGTCCAACAGCGTGAACGCGTTATACGCATACTGAGAATGAAAACTGAAATTGATATATAACATTGACATTGGCAACAAGTAAGCTAGCTAAAAGAATTTAGTTGAGCCTTAGATCTTTGGAAATCTGAATGTCTTATATTTATAATATACCGATAAACATCTATATTTTACCTTAATATTTTTAATTTCAAATCTAACAAAATCGTTTAGAAAAATAAGTCGTCATTTTGGCTTCCACTTTATTCTATAATGGAATGGTCTCAAAGTAACCATTGTATAAACTTTGCATTAGAATGCTTTTGCAAAATATACTGTACGAAAAGAGGTAAATGAATGAGTTTTACGCGAACCGAATCGTGTAAATATTACATATACATAGTAAAGAACTATATGCAAATTTGCGTTACCGAAATTGACTTCAGCTTTTGACTACTTATTGTACACTATAGTAGTGATATCGTGGCCGAGGTACACTGACGCTGCATTCGGCGCCCGCGTCGCCGGCAAGTCGTTTCTGACATACTAATAAAATGGTGCGAATGCTTTTTAAACGTTGCTAGTAGCAACTTATCACCCATTAAAGTAAGTAAACACGGCGCCAATTGCTATATTTGCGTACAACATTCAGCACACACATTGGTGTCCAATTCGGACACGAACAGCTGTATATCGTTTGGTTTCCGGAAACTCGTAATGGCACCGCTAACGAACGTTTTTATAAAAATCATTTATATTAAACTGATCCCTATCTATGAGTTTACACTATGAAGAAATTACCTAATGTAAAAAATGTTCTCAACATCAAACCGTCGAACAATTAATTTAAACAAACCGACAGTGGTATTATTGCTCATTATTCTACCAAGTAAATTCAAAATATAGTACATAATCACCTCGATGAGAAATAAATACTCAATACACATACAAAATGATCATATAATCTCAGAAGGCGTATATTTATTAATTAACACCTACAGTTTTATTACAGAGTTATCATCATCATTGTTAATATTTATTAATTTAATTCAATAGTTCGTTCAACTTTGAATAACTTACGCTAGAGCTAGGCTAGAGCGACAAGATGATTAACAAGTTGTTCCCGCCGAGGTTGCTCGCGCCGTACAGGATGGACAATATATGTATAAACTATTTATTCGTCTCATGATACATTGAGCGCAATAGTCAGTGAAATATTTGTTATTTAAATATATAACAACAACAGCGATCTATTTGTGAGTTTACTGATCACCGAATCTCTCCCTGTACTGAAGAATCGCATTACTGGACCATGGTAATATTATAGACATACATACTCCTCACGAACATGCCTTCTTAAATATCGTATCTTATTTTACAAATGTTGGATTTTAATTTGGAGCATAGAAAAAATATTTGTATATATAGGTATGAAGTTATGATATCAAGACAATATAACCTGTGATGTTGGTACACTGATAAGACATAGGTGGTATACTAGTGCTAACCGCCGACGATTGAACTTATTTTAGGATAGAATACTAACTGATGTTGAGCAAATATATTGCTGTGCAAGCTTATTAATTACAGGTTAACAAAGTAAATTTAAATTTTACCTAAATATTTCTGATAATATTAAAAATTCTAGTGTTGCCTCGTCTGCCTTAGAAACTCGTCGACTCTGGATTATCAATAGTATAAATTACTCGCTCGAAAATACTCCCAAATTGACAGCTGTTGTAAATAACTTTATCTATATACCAATATAACACCTATTTTCTTACCTCACGAAATAATATTTATTTAATTTAAATGGCTTAAGATTTAATCGAGTAACAAGATTTTATTTTGACATTTTGACGTATTATTTCGTCGATAAAAATAATGAAAATCCGTGGTAGTATCTCATGGATATTTAATAAATTTTATAAAATAAATAGTCTGTACTTCATGTGCAAGGTTGCTTTGATTACGATTTACGAAGACAAAGGAATTTTAAGCTCGCTGTACGCTCCAACAAAGTCTACAGTACTCAAAATTAAATTAATGTAAAGTTTAAATTGTGACTACATAAGATAACGAGTTACGTGTGAAATGAAAATATATCGAATCGAATCTAGCTTAATGACTACGAAGCTAAAAGCTAGCAATATAAGAAAACAAAATCACAAGACTACGAACTTTCTATGTTGGATACGTCTCACATATCAAAATAATTCACTCGTAAATCTCACAGTTCACCGAGCTCGAAAGCTCTCAATCTCCACCACAATACTCAGTATCACTAACCTTTCTCGAAGGTCAATTCAAGAATGTATAGGTACGCTTAAAATACGTCAACTAACATAAAACGATGCCATAATAATAATATAATAATAAATTGTACTCGGCAATAACTACGATATTAGAATAGGTAATTCAAAAAACAAGATTGCACTCACGGTACGCATATACAAAACATAATACGTAACGTCAAAACAGCAGTACAACGCAACTTTAGAATATTCAACACTTTACCGATGCGTTCAGGTAAGTTATTGCATACAAATCTCCCGGGGGCCGGAAGTAGTCAATGTATAAATAACGTTAAAAATCACAGGTGCAGCCACGTTCAGGTGGTTAAAGGAAGATGCATAGCTCCGTCGCGGAGACGACGTGTGGCTCCTGCGGCTCAAGCGCCACACCGCCGCTCGGCGCACTGCCGTCCGCCACCAAGGCACAGCCCTGTCAGCCGTCATGGTCTGTGGAACCTGCGGTACAAGTAATGAACTCGTCTCAGTCAAATGTCCCGACGTCACCTCCACTGCCTCAATACTGACAACTCTCCAAGGCGATATATATATCGGTGGTGTTAATATATATTTACTTTTTAACTCGATTTTGAAGTCTCTCGATTGCTCCTTTAAATAACTAGTCTATGTGATAAATTTTACAAAATAAATATAAAATAGATTGTTTGTATCCGTTCATTTTTCGTAAATTTTTCATCTGACATTCTATATGTCCGAACCAACGTAGTATGCCCTTTCTCATTTTTATACTAAAACTTTTTTTAGAACCACTTCATTTTCGCTATTTCAACTAGAAATTATAAATAAGTTGACAGCCCATCTGATGACGTATAATATTTAAGTAAATGTATGCCCATAGTTGTTTATTTACTTTCCACACTACATAACTATTACTGCACTAATTTGCATCAACACAAAGTAATTTAGTCGTACCTGTCTCGCTCAACAGCCGGAAAAAATTAAGGCTTGAATACAGAAACCATTAATTCGCAATTTTCGTCAATTGTAACTTTCTCCGTTGCTTGAAAATGGTACTTATATTTTCCTTACGTAACATTATTGCTAAAAGTCACGAAGTTGTTACGTTTAAAACGATCATAAATAGTGTTATAACGGCCAATAAAATTTGATATGAACTGAGTATTTATTGATGGTAGTTTCGTGGGGCATTTCGTTCAGTACCACAGTTTTGCCTATTTTTGACGTGAAACATCGATGCGTGATATTGTATTTTCGTATTAATAGTAAGATAGATAAGGCAATATATGTCACAAGGGACTTAACACTTTAGTACTCAAGAGTGGCAACGCTTAAAATATTCCATAGGCGACTCATTCTGTGCTATTCATAATATTGTACATGTTATTATATATGGATTTCCAGTTTTTTTTTTTTATCAGATGGTATGTCAGTTTATTTATTATTTTCCTAATATAATTGTTTATCTAACCTCGTGAGATGCTTGCTCTCCTCATGCACCGCCATTTCAGAACTCTTGAATTCGTTGAGTTCCCGTCGGATGGCGGCCTTGTCCCGCGGCGTGAGGCGTGTCCAGGGCTTGTCAGCACGTCGGTCGTAATCATGCGCCTATGACAGTTTATGATGGATATAATATAAATATGTAATTTTATACACTGTATATTTATAAGATAAAACAAATATTTATTTATTATTAAATATTTATTTATTTATACTTTCATCGTACACAGGGAGACTTTGTACATAAGTCGTTTGCTTGGATACCTCTATACCATTCGTGTTTTTATCGTGAAGCAGTTGTGTTTGCATGGCTGTGTTTCGGTTTGAAGGGTGGGATAAGGCAGTCAATTTACAGGGTACAGAGGAATAACACCTGAGTCCTCAGGAATGGCAACGCATGGGAGGTATCATGGCCGAAACAGTATACTCTGTAATGTCCATGGTACTGCTCATGTCTATAGGCGACGGTTATTACCACTTTCCATCAGGGGGGCCGTCAGCTTGTTTGCCATTTTAAGTTGCATAAAAAAAAAACATTCTAATAATACATACAGAAACATGGCGGTGAAAAGCAAATGTATAAAGGCAAACTTTATTCAAAAGTTCTCTTCCAGTAAACCCAAAATAATAATAAATCAATAATAATTTATTGGTATCCATTGAACAATACAATAATGGGCGTTGAAAAAAATAAGCTAATTGTTTTTAGTAAAATTTTTCGATATATAAAAAAAAATATATACCTGCGTAACTTCTATGTAGTCACTGAACCTAATAATCTTCTTTTCTTTCAGTTCATCTACCGTGGGCCGGAAACTAAGTTTGCGAAGAAGGTATCGCTTCTTTTCTTCTTTCTGCTTCTTCTCTTCAGCAGGGGACTGACCTACAAAATTTTATATATTCATAAAATATTTCATTCATAATTGTTTTATTTATTTTATCCTTAATGCACTACATAATGATACCTCCAGTCAAACTGGTTAAAACTACTCTTTTTCATCCACAAGTTGCCTAGAAGACATCGCACTTACCGATAAGCCTGTCTATTTTTTTCTTAGTGTAATATTTTCGTTTAATTGTTTGTATTTATAATAAGTTTATTAATGTAATCTTATGAAGGAAACAGTAAAGAGCATCTATCTATCTTTATCTCCCAATTATTTATATAATATAATTAATAACCATCCCAAAATTTCAAGTAGCAATGTTTGTATATATTTTGTATAATAATGGAAAATACTTACTTTTTAGTATGTTTCTTTCAACGAGTTCTTCAGCGGTGGGTCGCATCGACAGTCGACGTATCAGGCGTGCTCCTATCGCCTCCCAAGACTCCTGTCGCTCGTGCTCGCTCTGCACCACCAGGATGTTCCTGCGACAAACAATCAACACTATATTGACTGAAATCCTATCACCGTCATTATGCAAAACTGTGCCTAGTTCATAGTGACGTAACTCTCTATATGAGACACTCCGTTAAAACTAACAATATAATTTAATCACTACGCTTGCAAGCGCTCCCGTACTAAGCGGCAATATAAAATTTGTCAATGCTCATGCGGTACCTACTGAAAATGTTTTCATAATATCCGATTTACACACACTTGGCTACACCCCAACACCCTCCAATTAAATAATTAAGGTCACCCATTATTCACACTGCAATTTTTATAAGTACACACGTTCGATACGAAGCGCATCGCATTATCCATGGAAATTTATAAACATAATTGGGCCACTTAAAAAAAGACTCAATGCCAGTGCCAAGACTGAGCTCACAGAAACAGGAAGGAATAATACATCGATAACAATGACTTTGCTTGACGATGTGTACAAAAATAACCCTCCCAGGCGAGTGCTGCCGCTACGCGTTTTAATGACAGCACTGTTAATTAACACCGTGTTGTGGTAACACTACGTAACGTCATGTGTTTTTATAAAATGAGATTAATGCTCTTTTAAACTGACCTCAGAGCTTTCATAATTTAATATATATTCCTATGTGTTATATATTCAGAAACATCACTGCACTGTTTTCAACGCCGAAGGTATGCGAATGATTACAGAATACTTGTGTCTTAACCCTGCTTCATCGAAACTGATAAATAAGCTCGCAAGATTTTCAAGCTAATGATAACTGAGTCATTCAGTTGTGAATAGGTATATTCAGTGGTTGTTCGTCGAAGCTGTTAGTGCGACTTTTTCAGTCGCATTCATTACTAGCCAACCGCTTTGACATGCCTACGTAATATCACAACGCTCTCATTCAAACAAGCATAAATAAAATAAATATGCTCACAACCGTAATGCCAGATGAGGTAATCACAGGCGTATGTACTATCGACTAATTTCTTTCGTATTCGTTCATTTATATTCAGCAAACGCCACGATATCTCATACTGCTGTATTTACTTTACAAAATGCTTTTTTTGCAGGGTTAAAACAAGTGAGTGAACAAATGATTACGTTGCTGCTTTAAATACTCATTTCGCAATATAGAACACAAATATTGCGACTATAGTGTATTGCAGCCAATTTAAATGCGACGCGTTTAAATAATTATATTTTTCAGTCACATAGTATTCTAAAAACTTTAAATTTTCTTCTAATATAATATAATATAGTGATAACATTTACATAACTATGTTTGCTCTCTATCTTTGAGATGCATGGGTGTCTCTGTCCCACTCACATTTCTATTGTGAAGTAGCAAGCTGCTGTGCTTGGTTGCATCAGTATATCGGTATGAAAGGTGGGATACAATAATGAGTTACATAAGGTAAGGAAGTATAACATCATAGTTCTCAGGAATAGCAACGCATGAGAGGTACAACACTAGGTGTTACATTGTAATCTGTAATGTCCTAGGTGTTCATGTCTACAAGCAAAACTTACCGCTTTTTATCAGTTGGACCGATAGCTTATTTGGCATTCAAAATATATAAAAAAATAATATCGTACTTAACGGGGAGCGGTTTTCTACGTCATTTTGTTCTATCCTGTACGTCATCTTTAAAGAACCGACTCTATGTAATGTATTACTAAAAAAACAATACATCCGTTTACGCTTACCTTTAGATTGATAAAGATTATTACCATTTAGAATACAAACTTTTGTGTTTAACTGACATTCTTTTATCGTTCCAGTAATATTAGTTATTTCTCGTCATTTAGCTAATGACGATCAGCAACGATATTAGCTAATAATAGTTGTATTATTTATTCTACACACATAGGTACGTTTAAAGCCATACTAGATCTTTGGAATCTTTGTATCATTAGGCTGACAACTAAAGCTTCCATGATAAATGTATTCTGTTATCAGTATGGCCATTTGTCATATTTTCTATTCAACTTAGAGTGGTACTGGCGAAAGATACTGCGAATTTCCTGGACAGCAAAGCGCATGAACATATCTATCCTAGCGTAACTCCATATAAAAGATAGACTCTCGGCAGTCTGCTATCGGAGGATTCTTGGCTACTTCGGTCATATTGCTCGTCGACAGTCCGACATTCTAGACAAGCTAATGGTTGTGGGCAAGATAGAGGGGAAAAAGACCACGCGAACGATCACCTAGTCGATGGTCGGACCAAGTAACCGCCATTACGGGACATTCAATTGCAGCTGCCCTGTCACAGCATGTGATTCTTCAAAAGGGGGGTAAAGAGGTATCTTCAGGGTCGACAACGCACGCATAATACTTCTGGTATTGCAGGCGTTCATAGGCTATGGTAACCGTCAGTGGACCGTATGCTTGTTTGCCACTTCAGTGGTATAAAAAAAGTAGACATGAATATGGGCATAAGAGAATACATTGTGAGGACTGTGGTCCCCATCATGCCTTGCCATTTCTGAGAACTATGATGTTACGCCTACATACACTGTAAATTCACCACCATATCCCACCTTAAAAACTTCATTGTCCCTGCACAGTAATAATAACTATCCATATTAAAGCAATCCATGCTCGCACCTATTACATTATATAACCCATCAACCATCTACTGCTGAACATTGGCCAGCAGTTGCCACACTTAGCAGAAGGGATAGCAACCGCAATTAGGTTTTAGTGATGTTTTAAGAAAGACGCTGCTGCCCATCCCTGAGCCAATAAATTCCCTTAGTCACCTCTTACGACACCCACGGGAAAGGAAGGGGTGGCCCATTCTATGTCGGAAGCACATGACATCCATTATTGCACGCATTAAATATATCGGTTAAATTTTAACAATTATTGATGTAGAATGATCGTTTTAAGAAAACTGCACTAGATTATACACTTCAAGAACCGTAGTTTTAATTGTGGGAATACAAAATACAACTATCGGTGATATCGTTAAGAGGAGACAACAAATCGATAATAGTTAGGTATGAGGATAGGTACAGTTATTTTTTAAAATAAATATTTCCAGTTAGTTTTAAGTAAAATACAGGATAGAGATAAATTATTTGTTACAACATAAATTCAGTCCTAGAATTACAAAATATTTTGGAGTAAAACATTGCAGCAATACTCTATGTCTCCAGAAGTAGGTGTACATAGTTTTTGTATATTAACAACAGTATCCAACATATTAATATTAAAGTGGAAAGAAAAGATTACTACTAATGCAAATACTAGTACCCATTACTAGTATTCTTGTCAGATCGACCTCCATGGGGTCCCCTGAAAACTATCCCGGTTGTAATTAATTCGCTATAGTAATGCATTAACCAAACTTAAATCTTATCATTTCACCCCACCACTGTTTTTTTAATGGATGATAATGAAATGGTAACCCCGCCTGCGCTAACGGTATACGTTGGCGCGGCACCAGTGAGGGATGATAGGTGAGAATGAAAAGACAGGTCAGATAGCCCATCTTAGTGAACACAAATGGAATTCAGCATGATGGTTTACAGGGGGAGATACGTGAAAAGCGACCTGATAGCGTATATTGCTAACCCCTTTCCCCCGTTCCACCACTGTACACCATTATAGCACAAGTAGGTGTATTATTCCTACTTCATCTATTAAAATAATTACCTGTTAATGAGTTCCTGACGATCGGGCCGCAGCGCCAGTTTAATATTGAGACTTTCTTTGCGGGCGAGCTTAGCGGCGATACGCTCCGACTCGGTGGCGTAGTCGTCGCGATACTCAGCGGCGCCCTCCCATGGCCGCGCGTTTTCTTTATTCTCCAATGCATTGCCCAACCGCACCGGTCGAGTACTGTACAACACATACAATAAACTAAATACACTTAAAGATTAAAAATATGTTTTTTTTTTTAAAGTAATAGGTTTCTATTAGAACTATATTTATAACATAATATTCATAATTTATATATATTTTGGACACGTATTATATTTATTTATGTTTTTTAGTACAGGGTTACATTATAAAGATTGCATTATATTCTTAATAAACAGTACAAATAAAAAAATCTAATAGGCACCTAACACCTAATTGAGAACTAATAAGCCAAAAAAAGTTAATTTGTTTTAAATATGTAATGTAAATCAAATAAAACAATAGAATTATATAAAACAGTAAAAACAAAATTTGAGAGTACTATTTTAAGTACAATTCGAATTTTGTGAAATTAAAAATACACTTACATGCAACACATAACAACAACATTGTATATGTTTTTACATTTAGCATATTTAATAATGTTTAGTTCTCGGTATGTCGTTTATCGAAATATTATTTGATTATGTACTTATAAAGATCGTACAGATACTTAGTCTTTCTTTATTTACATTGCTCTTAATTGAAATTGGTATTTTGTCTTTCTCTATCGATTTGTCAGCATCGTTATTTTTATTTACAACTTGACTTATTATTCCGGCATTACAGCGGTAATATTTTTATCTCTGGGTGGCGTTATAGGTAGAAATTTATGAAGAGACAAAGCGAAAGAAGTTTTGTGGAATAGGGAACCTTATTATATAAAAAATAATTAGGTAAAAATATTTATTATTGAGAGGCTCCAAAAGCAAAAAATAAAAATAAAACAGCATTTTCGTTTCCAAACTAAAACTAGAATGTATTTTTTTTTTCTATTACTAATATATATTTTTTTATTTAATTTTTAAATGACTTATTTCGATAAAAAGACAGACCAAGATTGTTTACTTAATTATGCCAAATATAAAACAGTTTATAGATTAAAATAACAATTAAAATGCTCATGACACATTTCATTCATCATTCAACAACTTATAACATGGAATGTGATATTTAAGAAACAGAAATAATTAGATACATAAATATAGTAATATTCACTATACGGGTTCGTTGTAGTCCATTAATAGCGTGTTTTGTTACCCGTATGCAGCGTCACATAGTCGAGTGTTAGTAAGTGTTTACATCTATAATGGCGATGGAGTGGACACAGCGATAGTAACATCAAAAGTAATCGATAAAGATAGAGATGATAGTCGGAAGCGTGCAATGCACGATGCATGGTCTAAATGCAAAGCGGACCGTCGGGAGGCCTCTGGGCGAAATGGCATGGCTCGACAACACTGGTATAACGAGTGGGACAGTTACCATATACGGATCCTCGGTTTTGGCGGCGGACGTCTGCTCGCCACCACATTATGGAAATAAATTTATTCACAATTACGCCCACAAAATTATAACCTTTTAATAATGTGTTTATCACACGTTTGTATAACTGTACATATGAGGCTAATTTTTCAAATATGGCATCTATTAGTTTATATTCTAATGTGTATTACAATAAGCAAACTTTATATAGTCTGTTTGTGAACTGAACATCGCTACGAAACAACTTATGATGTACATTGTTTGATGGTATCGCTTTACTAAGGCGTATTACTCTACGGTAGGTACTAATTAATACGTTCCCTTAAACAAAATGTAATAATATTTTTTATAGATGACTATTATTAGCGTTACAGGTTACTGACAACCGGCATATCGAAATATGATCCCAAGGATTATAATATCATTATGTTAAATTCACAAAGGCCTAGTCCAATTCAACCAGTCATACTAGATTGCATTGTAAAGTATATTTTATTCACATTTCATTAAAATATATTTATGACCACATTCTTTCTGGTTACCGAACAGAAACCTGTCACTCTATGCATAGTCTATAAAAAAATAGCACTTTAGATCAAGTATACGCAATCACGCTGCTGGGATCTTAGACTATATACAATGACTATGATGGATACAATGTTGTTTTATATACGACTTGGTGTTATGGTAAAAAAACTTGTGACGGTATACTGACTTGAAGCTGGAATGGTGGTGATCTTGGCGGGGCGCTAGCGGCGTGGCGAGCGGCGTGGCGGCGGGCGAGGCGGAGGGCGCCGGCCGCTTCTTCAGCGCCGACTTGAGAGGCACCGCGTTAAATATCGGCTCCTTAGGTGGGATCTCCTCCACGCGGTTCGTGTCCGCGCTAACTGTGAGAGGTTCGACTTCTTCTTCCTCGTGTTCCTCCTCCTCTTCGGCTGTTATGAAACAAAATTTTTGAAGATTATTATTAATTAGGATTTATCTAAATAAATTGAAAGTTCTATTCTTCCATTCCCGTTTAGAATTTATAATAACGATCACAATGCAGATACGAATTGCATGAAAAATAATTAAAATCGGTTTAAAATATACTGTAAATATATATATATGTCACACGCCCTCTTATGAAAAGTATATGCACAATGAACGATATAACCCGATTGTCTAAAAATACTTGTAGTTACGGCACAGCTTACAAAACCTAAACAGGATGGAAATATAAACATGAATGGAAAGTAATCCTCTTGGGGTACAATTCAAATAGTAAAACTTGAGTCGATTTAGGACGGTTTATTTCCAAGAATTATATTTTAACCTTACATTATATAGATAGATCATCGAGTTTCAAAAACGGGACAACTTTTAGTCAGCTAATTGTCAAATTTGCTGACTAGTTCTTTTTCTCATTTGTTTTTTTTCATCAACAGTGTTTTATATACTTACGAATACAATGTATCTTGACGTATTATTCAATAAATAAAATTAGTATTTACGCATTAAAAAGTTTCGGAAATTATAAGACAAAATAGTATAACTCCTATATTTATTTTGTATAAAAAGTCCAGAGTGGTTCACTTGTAACTATTTATCACGCAAAATTGTATGAAAAAGTTGACCAGCTTTTCTCAAAGCATTTGTATGGAGATACTCTATCTATATAATCTAAGATTTTAACAAACACATATATTAATTTCAATGACTCCATTATATTATGATACTCCATGATTAATAATTGAATTAATAATATAACCAATATCCTTTTACCGCTAAATTTTGTAGGTACCTAAATGACCCACATATAAATTTCGTATCTATTGTAATGACGCAAATAATAATCAATACATATCATATTATAATAAGTAGTCTACGAAATTTATCACTATGATTAACTTTAATCAGTGTTCAAGAACTTGCCGCAATACAATTTATATATAATAATGTAATATTTACCTATTTAGTACTAATGGAAAAAATATTTATTTATTAATACATGAATCCTATTTCTAGGTTATAGTAATTTTAGTAGATGTCAATTTATTTCAAGTTTAAATAACACACAACACTCCTTATTCATAAGCATTCCTGAAGGCTAAAGGTAGAATGACTTGCGTTAGAGGTTCCACTATCGTACTCTAAGTACAAATATAAATTATGCATATTCTTGTTTTAGAACAGAACCACGAAGACGAGTATTTCGTAATCGTAGACCAAAATTACTTTATTCTTTTGTGTCTGCGAAGGCCTTAAGAATCGAGAGCCTTAAGAGAGAAAATTAGTATCACCCCAACCAAGTCACAAAAAATATTGTCACCAGTTTGATAAATTGTTCTGTTAGATTACAATTGCCTGTGTTAGCAAAACTAATATATTTTATACCAATTCGATCTATTGTTTCATTTACACTATGTTTATTTATTCCATTACAAAGAGCTGTTTTTCGCCTCATTCGACTGGTTCTTTGAGAAAAATGTTTAGTTCAATTTAGTTCATTACTCGAGCACTCTCTATTGATTTCAAATTATACTTTTATATTAGTCGATTCGTTAACGTAGTGGTAACTACGGCAGTATAAATAATAGTACTTCAAATTACTATTACCATTTTTTTTATATTGGCACAACACATTGACTCCATAGCTATCTGATAGTAAGTAATTATGAAATATACTGGGGGCCGCTCTACTATTACTCTTCTCTCAAGATGAGCTTACTCCATCACCGCAATAAATTGTCTATGTTAGCGTGGTTGTCCCTTCCAACTTTTTACTTTAATATATGTGACTATATACAGACATACTCTGTTTGTGTTTATGAGTTAACGACTTTAGTAGCGGTTCGTCCATGGAAGTATATTCCTTGGTCGAAAACTTGTAAATATTTTTACTCATACGTTTTTAACTCTTTGGCTTTTGGAGGGGCATGCTATTTTATCATCTAATATATTATTTTAGGTAACATATACCTATTACATTCACAATAACGCGTGTAGAGACGTCATTTGTTTATATAGCAGTGGACCGTTATGTATCACGTTGTTTTTGTATGAAGTATCCAAATGTGCCTTTACATAAGTTTTGGTTTTGTAAAAAGCATTTTAAACGCGTCAATCGCGCTTTTATATTACTAGTAAATAGATAAATAATTTTATAAAATACCATGTCAGTGCTATTACCTAATGGTACACCCGTGCAAAAGTACTAGATTGGTTAGTTTATTTAATACTGTGTACTATATGAGGTAGCTTTTAATTGGCTTACTGTTGTTGTATATATTTAATTATTAAGTTATTATAGATGTAAGGTTCCCTTAATAAAAATAAATAAATAATGCTTCCCTCTTAATAGAAACAATAAGAAAATAATTACTGAATGCCTTCTTTATTTTTTTCTTTGTGAAAGTTTAAGTAAAATAAAATAATTATTAATGTTTAGGCTTAATTATAAAGAAAGGGTATACTTTGGGGCAATAGAGTCTATCCCATTCGTGTTTCAACCGTAAAGCAGTTTGTGTTTGGATGGCTGTGTTTCGGCATAAAGGGTGGGATATGGCAATGAATTTGATATACCCGAGTCCTTAGGAATGGCAACGCATGGGGGGTTTCATGGATGAAACAGTATACTCTATTATGTACATGATACTGTTCATGTCTATAGGCGACGGTTACCACTTTCCATCAGGTGGGCATGTCAGCTTGTTTGCCATTCTAAGTTGTATAAAAAAAAAACTTACAGTCAGAAAGAGGATGTTGTGGAATGGCGAGTTGATGGTGGTGGCGGGTGGGGCTTGGTGAGCTGAACATGGGTGGCGGTGGAATGGGTCCGATTTCCGAGACCGCGATCGGGGGCTCTGGTAGCTCCGACAGCACCAACTGTTCCTCGCTGTCGCCGCCGTGCTCGCCGCCTGCTGCCCCGTAACCGCCTACTGAAAATTAATAATTTTATTATTGGTATATGTTTAATATTTATATTTATACACTTAATTAAATATTCTTACTATCCTGTTAATATTATAAATGTGAAAGTTATTTGGACGTTCATATGTTTATTGCTCAATCACGCTTAAACGACTGAACGGGTCTGAATGATATTTGTTATACTGGTAAGTTCTAATTCTAATTTTAATAATATCTTAACTCTAAAACATAGAAAACTTTATATAATGATTTACGCGGACAAAGCTGCAGGAAATGTCTAGAAATAAAATTTTAAATCTTAATTTAATCGAGGACTTATCTTCGATCTTGATGAAATTAGTATGGTACCAACAAGGGAAAAAAAATCTAAATTGGTTCACAATTAGAGAAGATGTCGAGTAACCTACACCTACACTAAAAGAAAAAAAAAAAAAAAACAAACGAGCAAGAGAACAAAGAAAGGCTAGAATATAAAATCAAGTAACTTTACAAGAACATAAAAACAGCGTACAAAGCTGTTTGCGAATGCAGTCGAGTAATGAAAGTATACTTTTAGAACGGTCGTAGATGCTTTTAGCATTAAACAAAAACTCATTCAGTTTTCGGTGGTAGCCGAAAAAACATACAATGCAAATAAACTCCATCTTTTTAATGTCGGTTAAAAATATCGATCATCTGACACGAGAATCATCGTTTACTTCCTATAGATATATGGCAATAATAGTTTCGACATATGTAACATACCAACATCTCCTTGATAACATATCCGTCGTGGAAGTTTGCCTGCTGTTAAAGAGTTGGGTCGTTCTGGCCTCATCAACTCTCCACCATTTTCCAATTTATCTTTCTTTGGTTCTGAAAAGAAGGAAAATTATTTTTAAGCTTTACTCTTGAACATTTTATAACCACAAGAATAATATTATCATCAATGTGATTTAATACCTAAATCTTAATAATAGAGAAACTTGGACGTCAACATTATACTATTCTTATTCTAGACAAGTCTTTGTGTCAATATAGATTTGTATACATGGAGTATTCATTGTAATTCTTATATGTAAACCAATGTAACATAATATTACCTATGTATACTCATTCTTTATAGTGAGTAAGCTAATATTAACTACATAAAAGATTTATATAAATATTTAATTTTATCTTTATAATTTATAAAAAAAAAATATTAATAGTTTTTTTAGGGCTGTTGTTGTCTATATTTGATTTATATTTTCTCTTATTAATAAGTGAATATTAACAAAATGTATATAATGAGCAGTTACAGAGAGATTTTCGTTTTCATAGTACAATTACGTTTATTTAGTTAAACGCAATGGTAGTATGTGCAAAGTATATACTTATTGTGTTGTGGCTGTGGGATGCGTTCGAGCTGCTCCATGGGCGGCCAAGGCCGCTGTAGGAGTGAATGGATACGCGTGCCACGCGCTCGTCACTGCTCTATTATCTATTATTAGCATCCTCGTTTTACTATAACTATTTAATACGCCAGATAGTTCGAAACGTGCGTCCGTTATCATAAAGCAGACTGTTAAAATCCAACCCAATGTCGTGATCTCATACACTTCTGTAATCAATGTCAATTTAGCGCCATTTATATGGGTTAATTAGTAAATTATGTATAATTAGTAAAATGGGTTAAGTAGTAATTAAATTCCATTCCTAGCGCAGTATTGAATGTGTTAATATATTTATATTGTATATTAGTATTTATCTGTCCATACGCAAGTTAATTGTGAAGTACTGGTAGAGAAATAAAGTCTCTACATACACTACTTTTTTACATATTTTTGTTTTATCAAATTTCAAGTTTAAGTTACAAATATAGGATAAAAACAAAAATTATTATCAGTGGTTTATATCTAAATTAAATAATTGAATAAAAGTTTATATTCACTAGTTTATAGACACTAATTGTATTCAGGTGTAATTTGGATGAAAAGTATGGTCTATTTGTAAATCAAATTCAATTTAAATTTGTGCAGCTCTTTAAAGGTAACTAAGTAAAACATCTAGCCATTTTTACAAACTTATATATTAATGTAAACTGTAAGATAAAATTAGGGTTTTTTCAGCAAAAAAAAGCAACTTCCATCGCAACAGAATTAATATAAGCGGGGCCAACGCAGGAGTAAAACCTATCGATTGCAAAAACAATTTATAGTATTTACTGAATAACAAGAAACCAATCCGAGAGAATCCTAATCTGATATCGTAAACATACACACAAAATAAACAGGAAATTGTGAGATACTTTCTTTGAAGTCATTTAAAAAAAACTAGTTACTCGTAATCTGTGTAGTTTTACAAGTATGTCACCAAAATGTTTCCTTGCATTATACGACCACATTTCGGAGCTATGAAGTGCCCAGTATTCTATGTAGCAACAAATCACCGAGCACCTGGCGGCGCCAGCCTCGCCATTTTCATGACCCACTAAGGCCTTGTTGCTCAAATAGACTTTCGACATAACTACTTCAGGGTTACATTCGTCGATTTATATCCACGTGATAAATCTGTGCTTTCTGAAATTTGCGGAATTCAATTTGCAACTAAACATGGATTAATAGTCGTTAACGATATCAATTATTTAGTAATACCTTATCTATCGTGTATATTATATGTAATGGTCATTAAAATAGTTGTAGATTTTTTTCTAGCCTATTTCCTTTCCTATATTAGATACAGAAGTAAACTTTCTTTAAACATTACCATAGTCTAACTGCGGTTGCCACCCGCCTGCCAAGTGTTACAACTACTAGCAAAACCCTAAAAATAGCGAGAGGGCTATGTTCAGCAGTGGACAGTTAACGGCTGATATGGTGATGATGATGATGATATAAAAGTATGATTTTTTACATAAGTATTATTTTGATAATGGATATTAAAACCAACTTTATACTTTATTTTCAGTATAAATACATATGGATTAAATTCAGAATTCGAATTAGGCACAATGTTTTGTGCCTCGTGTAAAATTTTGCTCGTGTTTGGAGATACAAATCGTTAAGCATAACTATGTCGTGAACATAACTGGCATAGTCAATGTCAGCAGGCGCGAATTTTCATCTCGGATAAGAAGTGTTTATTCAACAGGCGGTCTAAAGAGTGGGGTGCGCGAGCGCGCTCTGTCCGCGGGTCGGGGTGGGCGGGTGGTACTGGATCGATGTAGCCGCCCTTGGCCGCTGCGAGGACATCGCTCGGCCTCGCTGCAGCGTTATGTAACATCCAACAGCCTCCAGACACGTGGAGATCGAACCAATCGAATATCTCACAATCAAATCTCACTAATGTGTAATAAAAATGTTAAATATATATCTAGTTGTCATTTTTAGGTTATCTGTTTTTCTATTATTTATAAACTAAGATTCTGTCGCTTTGTAACTGCGCTCATTTCTTTTTTTTACATAACCTAATTTTTTTATACTATATTTACGAGTATTTTTCAGATATTATATTTTAATGTTTAAATTGATTCCGTCTTGTAGAATATCAAAACATGGCCGTAATTATATTAAAATTTCATTAATTTGTTCTTAAGACATACATAAATAGTAACACATATTGTTATTTTGCTGATATTTTTTTTATATAAAAAATATTTAGTTTCACTGGTAGAACACTCCCTTTAAAGGATGCTAATGATTTTAGGTTTATGATTCGATGCATAATCCAATAAATCACTGCTAAGAAACCCATGGTTTCTCCCAATAAAACGAAGATATTAGCCCACTTTGCTGAGCTAACCAAGCGACATGGTTTTATTTCAAACACTGTTTCTCCATTTAAGAGTTCTCTTGTCAGTGCAACTAATTCATGCATCTTCTTCCAGTCAGCTCTATCCCAGGCCATATTCTTGACCCCCCTATACGACATGATGCTTAATGTTTCCTTTATCTGTCTCATATAGTTATTCCTGGGTCTTCGCCTTTCTCTTTTGCATTCTACTTTTCCTTCTACTTTGCTCTTTAAAAAATCGTCACGTTGTATAAGGTGGCCCAGCATTTTGCCTCTTTTATTCTCTATTGTTTTTAATGTTCGTTTTTCATTCACCCTTTTCAAGATTTCCTCATTTGTTATTTCTTCTGTCCAAACACTGCTATATTGTGTTTTTCTCTTAGATTAATTACAACTACAATAGCCTAAAAAAAATTACATAAGGACATTTTTTTTTTTTATTTATTTCTTAAACTCATTTGTAAATTTAAGAAACTAAAAACAATTCTATATTTTATTTTGGCACATTTACCTTTGGGCATATACATCTGCTTCCGTATTTATTTTGACTATAAATACGAAAGCAGATGTATATAGATTATTTGTTGCAATTAAATAAATAAACTATTCGTTAATTCATTTAATTGCGTATTTTATAATATCGTAATGTATTAGAAAACACAAGGAAATTAATATATCATCCAATAGGTATAGTTTAAAAGTAATTATATTTTAGATGTCAATCATAACATGCATGTTGGTAGAAGGCCGTGGCGATGGAGTCGCGGTGACGTAATGTCCGAGTTATGCCAATAGAGAGAAGGATACCACCAGTAATAGAATCATACAATGTCAAGAGTACGAGATGGACGCGCAGAGCGTTGCGGATTCCATCATGTCGCGTAAAACGACGCGGCTGGTCCGACGGCGACGAGGCGCGACGAGACTCAAACGCGTGCCCACTAACTACGAGCTTGTTATAAATAAATTTAGCAGTTTGAAAAAGAAAACATCTCTGTTGGTACGTTAGGTATTTGGCCTGTTTACACATTTTCAACAAATACTTTATTTTGCGGAGATCACACTCGACATTTGAAAAAAAAAAAATTCTGTCAACAGTTTAGTCATAGTACAAAACAGAATCTCGACAAGGAATTTCTTAAAAAAAAAAGACAATTGTCATCGTTTTAATGCGACTTAACATAATAATTATAAAGATAGAAATCCAGATTGATAGTTTTATAGATTAACCCTAGGGCCCTAAAGTCAAAAGTACCTCTATATCTTCAAAAATTGCATTCCATAATTTTATCTTTGAAATAATAGTTTGTAACAATTTGTTTTCGGGGGGAAAGGGATTGTTAGTAATGGAGACTGAGAATCCTATTGCTAGCAATATACCCAACCAGGTCCAGCTCCTCGCGGTGCTCCCTGGATACTATCATGGTTAATTCCTGATAAATTCATCATGATGAGCTAACTGGCCTGTTTTCATTCTCATCTATCACCCTTCACTGGTGTTCCGCCAGCGTATCCCGTTAGCGCAGGCGAGGTTACCATACCAGTTTCACCCAGCAAAAAAAAACAGTATGTTTCCGAGATTCCAACATCCTTTTCCTATAAATTAGATTCTTTATTTATAACTAAAAATTAGGTAGACGTAAAAGCAAAAATTTACTGATACTACACAATCAAAATTAAAGAGTCTTGTAAAAAATGGATACATGGGGTTCTTTAATATACATACTTGTACATAGCATGAATGCTCAAAAAAGGTTTCCTGAATTCCCAAGAGATCAGACAATATCATACTCCATTAAGTCGAGGAAACTCAGTTATAAAATTCTACCAACAGCGTTAGAATCTTGTAATTTGATACCTGCTTATTTCAATTGCGGTCACGATAACCAAATCGAAATAGACTATATAAAGACAAAGATCGCAATAAAATTAATGAAACTATTTGTAAATTGGGCCAGAGCACCGAGTAAATAAATGAAGTATTTATTGGGAGACGCGGCGAGAAAAGACAGTGACAAGAGGCTCGTGGGTGGGCCCAAGATGAGTATGATTACGAGCCAAGTGTACAACTTTACGTCACGGAGTGGTTCTGCACTCATTTA